GAGGACAAATGATTTTCTTTAGCTCATTTATTTTTATTTCTATTCTTGAAATTCCTTAAAAACCAGGAGGCATGACATCAGCTACTATTTTTTACACGTGACATCCGCCGCAGGTTGATCGCACGTTTTCGCACGCAACCCCTTATGGTGGCACACATTCCATCGTATAGAAATCGCACGTTTGAATCACTCCGAGATTAAATGCTACGATTATTCAAATGAGATTAGTCCTAAGTTTTAATTGGACGATTTTATGTTATGTTTAAGACACGAACAGCGTTGTTTAATCAAGGTCAAAAACTTGAAAAAATTTGAGTGCGAACTCGAAGCGCAAGAGTTTTTAGAATTGACAAAACATGAGCTGTGAGTGTTTAAAAACTCTTCCTCCATTATTTTTTTCTTGATAAAGAGTTGTTTCTTGACATGGATTGTTATGGTGTTTTCCTATCTTCAAATATATATAAACACTCCGCTAGAACCTAAAGGTCCTTGCGCGTCAGTAATTAATTCCTTGCATTCAACTGGACAATATGGCTACTGAATATTTATGACTTTTTTTTAATGTTACGTACTAGCCTGAAGTATCAAAAGAAAACTTACTTTCAAGATATGATTATCCATTTTCCGGTGAGTCAAGCGAAATTTGTCGATCACTATCATCTTATCAATTGGCCGCCATGTCTGGCAGTCAAGGTACATGCAAGAAGAAGCATTGATAGAGCAATTCCGTGGCGGAAGATTTATGACCATTTCATCTCTGTCCGCGAAGAGTTTTAAAGGAGTTTCCTCACTCTCCATTGGAAACCTTAGTCCACAGTCTGTAAAAACATGAAATATTTTAGAAGTAAGAAGGAGTAAATCCGTGTCATATTTGTTTGCTCATAGCCTAGAAGTTTATTCCCAGTATGCTAAGATTTTTGAAGGGATGTCCACACTCTACAGAAGTCCACAGTCTGTAAAATCATGAATTTTTTTTGAGTTATAGAAGGAGTAAAACCTTGTCATATTTCTTTGCTCAAAGTCTAAAAGTGATTTATGTCTATTATAATGTGCTTCTGCCTACATACGTCTCAATGTTTCAGCATGCCGTGGTCTTCATTTCAGCTTGTTTTAGCCTCTTAACGCTTAATTATATCCAATCAACCACCTGTCGAGTCATTAATACCATCTTCAGAATAAGGCTATTATGCGCGCTTGTCTCGGTGCAACTAGCTAGAGTCGACGGCGCAATATATTTACCACGGCTTGCTTGTGTCAACAATTCAGACCAGGTGAACCGCCCCTGTATGGAAAAAGGGGCTATGTCACGAGGCTATTTGCTATCTTTCCAAAACCTAAAACGTTTTTCTCATCACTTAAATTCCAAAAATAATGGTCTTAACTCGGTTTGTTTTTTAAGTCTATAATTAGACATTGAAACCGTGTTCCTTGTCTGTTGTAAGGAATAACAAGGATGGACATAGATTAAAACTTGAAAAAGTTGAGCCACAGCGTTTTGAATATGCTATGCCTGCAGAAATCACCAAAAAAAGTTATTATGGTTAGTGCTCCCAAATGATAATGTTTGATATCTTCTTCATAACTATTCCATAACTTTACAGGAGTATTTTAAGTATGGGTAAAGACATTAGGGACTTTAAGATCCAACGACGCGACGGTAACGAGAACGTCGCTTAAAAAGTGAATTTACGTTCTTTCAGTCTTTATCGCAATTATTCCTACCCACTTACTTTGTCGAATGTAGGCGAACCCTCCTGGAGCTGAATTCCTAGGCACCATATCCAAGTACAGTAAGAGAAATAAAATTTCGTGGTTGCTTGTTTTCGTCCTTGGTAAAACGCGAAATTAGGTATGTTCACGTCGTAGTCGTGCAAAAACGGGCGGAGAAATGTACAAAAAAGCATGGTGCACGTGCAAAGTTGTTGTTTTGCTAATCAAAGCTATTGGGTTTTTTTACGTTCTCGTTACCGTCCGCGTCGTTGGATCTTAAAGTCCCTATTAAGTAATGACTTCAACCCTGAATTAACCTAAAACAGCAATATCCTTGAGAGACAAGTAAAAACTGTACATGCATCATCTTGTTCTTTTTGATGACTTTTAGGGCAAGGTTTCTTACCAAAGTTACTAATTCAACCGGCCTTTTTGTAACTTAACTTGAATGTAAGCAGACTTGACGTAACGGTCGTAATCTCGTGCATACGTTGTATTAATTTTTAGCTCGTAGCATCATTACAATCGCAACATAGACAAGGGTTAACAAAGACAAAAAGCCAATATCCAATAATTACGCAAGCGTGAAAATCTTTTTTAACTTATTTATTTTCTTAATTGTTGTTGGGGTTATACGAAAGGCCAGTTTTGGTTAATCACGAACGTCCTCTTCATCGGAAATATATAACAAAGTAAAAGAAACAAAACGATAACTGCCTGCCAGTAAATAAAAGAATTGGACGGCTATTTCCGCAGTTACAAAAATCGCCTTTTCATTCAAGTTTTAAGAATAATATCTCAGATATTCGTTAGATTTAAGTGGGAAATTCACAGTAATGCTAGCAACAGCATTGGCTTATAGGTGTTGGTAAACAGAACAAGGAAAAAGGGCTGTAATACTTGCTGTTAATTAATAATAAAAAAGGGATTACAGTAAGTAATTTTTATAAACTGTACCTTCAAGTTCCCTAAAATCTTCGTTATCCACACATTGCCATTTTCCTTTGAAGAAACTAAATGTTGCGACATCGTTGCTACAAACGCATCTGTCAGAAGGCATTCCGGTCGAAACGCCTAAAGCATTAAATTTAGAACAATCCACATTACTTCCAAAGGCCGGGACTATCCGAAAACCATCCACCATTGAATTCACCGGCGCAACTGATAGAAAAGAAGGTCTGTCTATAATAAGTTGCTGATGCAGATATTCCTTGCTTGATTTAAACACCAGGAAAAAGAAAATAACGAAGAATAAATACCGCATCTTTTAAAACAAACTGGATGAGAACACAGTGAAAGGGCTTTGAATTAAGTACTGTGATTCATCTCTTGAATCAAAGCCCCCATAAGAAGATTCCATGAGACTTCTTTTTTCTCTCGTGTTTGAGTTCAATCGCCTCGCCTGGACGAATTAATGCATTTTTTTATCACACGAAAATGTTATTCACTGAATAAAAGGCTAATACCCAAAGTTAAATAGCGATACAATATCGTTTAATTTAACTGCCTTCGTGTGGGACAATAGAAAAATAAATATGGCTTTATCTACATTCTCTCGAAAATTGTAAGGTCGAGTATGAAATATCTGACAGTCATGTCCGGACTTTTTTAATTAACCGGTAATAAAAAAAGGACATTTGCAAGGGAATTAGCTGACAAATGCCTGAAAATTAAACCTCTAACTACATGATTTTAAATCATTTCTTAAATTGTACATTTTTTACATTATTTTCTACAGACGAAAGTTATTGACTACGGCCTAGTTTAAGTGTTTAACTTTGGATATTCCCCTTTTTCAAACCAGATTATCTATTCGGTTGTTGAAAAACATTGAACGAGATTATATTTTATTCTACCTGCAGTTTATTCGTAATATAAAGTCTGATGTTGGCGACCCTAAAATTAAAGTTATACAACCAAATCGACATAGAATTTATACTCTCAGAGCATTTCTTAATTAAAGTAAAAATTATTAACATTTATATTGGAAACCTAGTTACGTTGATGTTATGCTATTCTAGACTCTAATAAAGTTTTCTTATGCAGCATTGTAGGTTTGAAAACATTTCCCACAATCAGTGATATAAAAATGTCAATCCGTGGGCACATTTTTCATTCTTGTAGAATTAGGTACGATTTCTTGTTTACTGCGCTTTGGTTGGTTAAGAATTCGCCCTTGCGTGCACAGAGTAAACTAATGATTAATTCAATGATTAAAATGTCACTTAGAGTTTTAAGATATTTACTAAGTTTACGTCGCTATTTCGTCATTAATACCAGATGGCAAAAACGTAGATGAAAATTAGTCTTGTGTCACGAGATTGGTTTGAGCCACGAAAGATACCTGGACATATGTCTGGAGGCTTCACGGCTTGCCGAGCTCGATTTTGACTCTCGGAAAAATACCAGACATGAAAACCGTTAGAACTGAATGTTCAAAGATAACTTTGAGTGTATGGTTTTTCATTTTTTTTCTCATTATTAATTTGTCAAATTTGTATGACAGAGCGGGTGGGATTCTTAATTTGAAAAGTTTGATTTGTAGGTTTAATGTAACCTGTGGCGCACCTGAAAACTAGATTTATAATAACGAGTGTTGACTACCTGAGACGAACTTTCAAGACTTAATCGATGCGCTGCTTAAACAAAAGACATACATCTTCTGATGCATGTCATAAAGTTTCAATGGTTCTTGCTTACTGATCATCGTTTTCGGGAAAACTCTCTCAGGAATAAAGCCTGGTAAACTCCAGATAAAAGGCAAGTGGAGAAAAACGGGGAGGAGAAGAAAAAAAAGCTAGAAATGAAAACAGTTTTCTTCCTTGCATATAGAACTGAAAGCTAAGTGAAAGCAAGTCCTATATAACTGTATTACATTCTTTACTGATTGATACATTTAGTAATCATTTGTTACATAGTCAGTAATTCATATGCATTTGTTATTTGATGATGATCACATCACATATGGTTACATTAATGAGATACAAGAGAGTTTTTCGTAGGAATAATGTATAAGTACGACTTGGGCCGAATGGGATAATGGATGATCTTCTTTTTTAAAGGATGCTGACGATTCTGTCCTTCGCTAGCCGCCCATAATTTGTTGCAGTCAACTGTTTGCAATCGCGCTGACTGGGATGAGAACAATGCACGGATTCTAAGAGAAAAGGTGGACTGCTGTGTCTAGTGTCTAAAAGCAGAAGGAGGTCTAGGGGATTTCTCAAAGTTGTTATTCAAATTTTTTTCGAACTTGTCACCTTAAAAATTACACGTTTTTAAAAGACTGTTTATTACTTTTTAGATGATTTATCGTTCTTCTTGAGCGGATGATATAACGATTGTGTCGTCTCGTCTAAGGCTTGGTAATCACTAGGATTAAGGACCCTCATCTGTTCATAGGAATCGTCCCTGGTTTCTCTCTCAAGTCCCTGGTATTGAGTATCGGGCCTTTCTAAAACGTGATACCTGGGATCCTGCCTATTAGGGACTTCTTGTTGATTCTTTTTACTAACTTCTATGGAAAGGTCCTCGTTAGCTACGCTGTAACTACAGGAATACTCAACACTATTTTCTAAAGCTTGTTGGCCATTTATGATTCGCCTGGGAATACGATTTTTATCGATAATCTCGGATTGAGTATCATTTTTCTTTGCATTTACTGCTAAACCAACCACGGGTAGTGCTGCTCGGTCGGAAGGTTCGTCGTAGTCGGAGTCTGATCGGAAACGCTTCGGTGAGCTTTCGGTGTGAGCCGACAATTCTTGGGTTTCATTTGTGGTGAGGTCGTTAGGTCCTTCTAGCACATGATACAGGGGCGACTTTGGAATGGACTCGTGGTCAGGTAATGCTGGAGGAACTACGAAAAGACAAAATTTGACCATTTTATAGCGCGTATGTCAGAAATTCCAAAAAACGAAAAGCAATTTCACCTAACCACCCCTTATATAAAGGGGTAGTGGTTAGGGAGGGGGGCTAATATAATTTAACCTGAAAATCATGTTCTCTTAATTTGGCGGGTGGGCATATGTTAACAACAACAGCGAAAACATCAAACCTGTGGGTAGAGATGACTTCTTTTGTTGATCTAAGCTTCCGCTGAAGGAAGAAAGGAAGGAAAAGGTGACTGGTCTGAATACGTGAAACAGAACACAGAGTTGAAAGAACAAAAAAGAGGGGAAAACCGCGAAAGGAAAAAAAATGAAATTGAGATTAAGAACAAATGGATAGACGGACGGACGGACGGACGGATGGACTGGATGGATGTGGATGAATGGATGGATGGATGGATGGATGGATGGGTGGGAAAAGGAACAACCAAAAGAAGTAAACACTTACGTGTTCTTTTTTCTCCAAAAGCAAAACAAGAGAAGCGCCAGAATACCAACAACAACGACAGCACTAGCAATAATGACAGACAACAACAAAGTATCGAGCCTGCTGCTTCCTATTCTCTCCAGTGAGTCCTGAAATTTGACAAAAAAAAAAATGAGTCGAAACAAAGCAGTGTTTGGTTGGAAAAGTTCCTTGCTGTGTTTCCCGATTGGCTAAAAAATATCTTGCCCCGTTTTATTCAACCAATCAGAGGTGAAATGAAGTGGGTAAGCTTGCATTTATTTTCTCTCGCTCAGGGCTGGCTACATGTATTTGTTTTGAGATCTAACTGCATGGCTCTTTTGTGTGCCTCAACGAACTTATGCGATTGCGCACAGATCCACAGAAGTAGATTCTTCGTTTTAGTTTTAGGATGATAAAACGCACTCATGATTCGGCAATAAATGACTTGTAGACGTTGTCATCTCTTATGCCTTAGAAAATATATAACGAGCCCGTCCTTAAGGTTTCAAAAATTCTATTAATATTTAAAAGAACGTTAACAGTCGTAAGCAACCTTTGTACTATCCTCATTGGTATCCACTCTTGTAAAAGGTGAAGTCTGTGAAGTATCGTTTGCAGCTGAAAATAAACAAAACAGAAAGGGTCGAAACGTGTTAAGCATAAATTCCGTCTTGATAATACAAATTAAGCCTTACCGTGAATGACTTGACTATTGCTAAGATAGTTGGGATAGGACTGGCAATAAAAAAATTGATGGGATACAAGGACTATCCTTGACTAACTGATACGACCCAAAGTTGCTAATCCATTAAACCAGGCAAAGTTGTTGCAGCAAGTGCTATCTTCATTGTTTCCAATGACGGTTTTTCTAACAGTGCATTGAAAAGTCTTTTTAGGCTATCCAGAGTAATCTTAGATCTCTAGAAATGCATTCTAGTAGGCGGCGCTATAAAATTTATATCTGTTCGGTCATCCTAGGGGAGCTTGAGGCTTTTCGAAATTTCAACGGCTTCAGTGTTATTTTCCCGAAAAGTTTAGATGCAACTGAACGTTTCACGAAAGTGAGAGTTTTTTCTTATTCCTCCCTCCCTCATATTCTTGAATCCGAAATTTTAGGTTCCTTTTTCTTCGAAAATTAGCCTAACAATGGGAGTAAAATGTGAAAAATAGAGCTTCAGAAAATCGTAGGGAATTTTTTAGATAAGCTTCGAAAATTGTACCTTTAGAATGGAACGCTCATCTAGAAATTTTTAGCCACATTTAAGCAATAGAAAATTCTAGGCAATATTTGCTTCTCCGAACATACATTTTACAGAAAACAGTCGTTGGGTGCCCCTTGCCCTTGAAACCTTCTTATTATACAGTTTATTTCTATTCTTTTCATTTTATAAGCCGCTTACAGTTGTTTGCACTAACAAAATCTTATGATTTTTTATGAGTTCAAACAAACTACCTCCTGAATGAGAGGGAGAATGGGTACCAAGTGACGTCATTGCAGTGACGTCAGTTGTCCTCCTGTGAACAATTCTGTACGTCTTTGTCTGAGGCAAAGTTTCGAGTTTTGTTGACGTGTCTGATGTTGTTGTTGTTGTTGTTGTTGTTGTTGCCGTTGTTATGGTTGCCTTTGGCGAAGTAGTTGCAGGAATGGCAGAACAGCAGCCGCACAAGCAAGTCTTCCTGCAGTTTTTAATCAGTTTAGCAGCATATGATTGAACCCAGCAGTTCCGAATATGAAGATGGCAGTAAGCATCGTTATAAATATTGACACACGCTATGAAAGATTCCAATGACAGATGCAATGTTAGTAAAACCACAGGTCAAAAGAAGCTAGATACAATGAAAGCATAAAAAGTAGTCAGTCAAAATTATGTAATATACAATTGCGTTATGTCAAGGTACAGATAGCCATTAAGTTAATGAATTATGCCCTTTATACTACTACATGAAAAATTACTGCAATTTGATTGGCTTAGAGCAGTGGTATTTCAGCTTAATTTGAATTACCTACATGTGAAAATTACAGACCTTTTGCGGGTAGTAGTATAAACAAATAATAGCATGATTTGTACGTGATATTTGGCATAAATACCTCTCGTGATAACTCAAAATTGTCTCAAATTTCACTCGCCTAACGGCTCGTGAAATTACGTATAACAATTTCGAAATATCACTCGTGGTATTTATGCCAAATATCGCTACAAATCAGGCTATTACCTGTACTAATTTCGCTGAAAAGCTTTCTGATTTGGTACCTAATATAACTTGAACAAGTCCATTGGGTTTTATATATCTGTGAGGCCATTGTGATGTTGTCACTCATAATCTGATGATGGTAATGCTAGAAGTGGTGATGATGTTGATGATGATGATGATGATGATGACAATTAAAATAATGATGACGATGATGATGATGATGATGATGATGATACTCTTTCAATTTGCTTATCAGTTGGGAGTTGACTTTTAAAGGCACACGAACTAAGTTAAGAAACTTGTATTCGTATTCAAAATCGCACTCGTAGTGCAATCTAACGGTCCCAAATGATAGCTGTTGAATAGATTATGATGATAATTTCGACGACGGCGACCAACAAAACCAATCTACTAAAGAAACTTACCAACCGTTCTTGAACAAACGTTACAGCTCATAGGGCAGTTCTGGAGCATCCAAAAATAACTCTTTTGACACTCTCCTTTTGTAGCCCAATAGTCACAGTAGTTATGGGTGTTATTGCACGCACCTAGTTATCGTAAGGAACACAGAATCACACAGCCACCCTCTCTCAATTAAACGCCTTCCCCCCCCCCCCCCCTACAGTTAGACGCCTCTCTCTAATAACTCCACACTCTTCCCTCGACAGTAAGAGACACATTTCTCCGAGCTGAATGAGCCAAACTTCCCAAACCTTTCCGAGTCATTTCTGACCCGGACATCGGACAGATTCATGAACGACGACAACCCACCAGACGTAGTTAGTCGATAAACCAATAATCGATAATAATCGATAGTAATCGATATTAACCATTGATGAATATCAATTTCCGATATCAATCGAAAGAAATCGAAAAAGAAAAAAAGTTGTGACTTCGATTAAAATCGATGATTTTCCGATATAAATCGATGAGGATTTTTATCGATTGTTATCGATTTTGTTAATCGATAATAATCAATAAAATATTTTTTTCTGTGACTTTGATTTCTATCGATTTCCGAGATCAGTCGATATAAATCGGCGGATTAAATCGATTAATATCGATGATATCGATTAATTTCCGATATTGATTTTTATCGATCAACTACGTCTGGGACACAATGACCCTGAGCTAGCATTCTGACATCGACGTTGAGATTTGAGGGAACGATATGGATCTCTAGATGACCTCTCTCTTTTAACCACTTCCTGTCTATTAAACGCCCTCCACCCTCGGACACTTAAATTAAATACCGTGTAGCACGAAAATTTAGCGATTTTTCCAGCGATCCGCAAAAATAAGTTCCCGCAAAGTAAAAATTACCGCAAACCTTTTTCCCACAAAAATTTACTCCAGAGTAAATATTCTCTAACTTAAATTCGCTACACAAAAATACAGTACCACGAAATCATGTCTCTTCAATCACAACTCGCCTCCTTCATTCAGAAACAAAACAGTATATAATGAATTACCGGTTATAGGGTACGCATACCGTAGTACTGTTTAAAAATATGTATTTCTATTGCACACTGTACTTAACAAAAGCGAAAATATTATCAATTCTGGGTGGTGGGTACTTTCTCAAAAACGCAAAAATTAATTTCCAGCGAGGAAAACTGATCTGTCCTAACCGCAAAAATTAGCTCCAGCAAAACACAAAAAATCGGNTAGTACTGTTTAAAAATATGTATTTCTATTGCACACTGTACTTAACAAAAGCGAAAATATTATCAATTCTGGGTGGTGGGTACTTTCTCAAAAACGCAAAAATTAATTTCCAGCGAGGAAAACTGATCTGTCCTAACCGCAAAAATTAGCTCCAGCAAAACACAAAAAATCGGCAATCCGCAAAAATAAACTCCCGAAAAAATTGCGTATCACACAGTAGACGCCCCGGGCGTCAATTAAATCATTTACGGTAATAAAAGTTGCGTGACATTTTTATCTTACACTATAGATCGAGTATGAATGAAAATTAATGTTTAAATTGACTCAAATAGGTTCCCTCATATTCATTTCACTAGAGAAAGCCAAGTCTTCCCACATATACAGTCCTCCCTCGCTGCCTTTCAGTTCTTTTCGAATTTCAAGGACCAAAACTTACCATTGACAATTACCCCTTTCAAAACACTGAATTTATCAAAGTAAACCTGGGAAGTAAAACATGTCTAAATAATATTCTTCCCGTCCTCCGATTATTAGATTATTTTCTCTTTCCATCGACATTTTATGGGATGGCTCTCTGAAAATAAACTGTCTATTACGGTCTTAATTTTTTTCGCCCGAAGGAAACATGACACTTAATTTTTAATACGCATTTGTAAAATGGGACTACAAGGGCGGGAAGGTGACATTCAAGACCTATTTCTTTTGAAGAGTTTCTTCTTATACAAAACAGCTTTCCTTACCTGATGTAGATATATTCAACATGAGCTGTAAAGCGAAGAAAATGGAGATCGATTCGATCGCAACCCTCCCGACAAAAGTCATGATGGCCTCTATGTGAATTCTTCATGTACTGCCCGTTGCAAAATGTTCTTCTCGACAACTAGACCAAGCGTAGGATATTCTTCTTCTATCCATCGACGAACTAAGTGACAGTAGTTTCAATAGACTTGACTCTACACGTAGTAAACCATTTGAACAAGTACTAGTCACATTTATAGAGAAATATTATTTGGGTCTATTTACTCTGTCTGAGAACATTTCGTAACACCCCGCGCAAGTGTTGAAAGATTGAAATGTCCATGATAATCCTAAAACCTTTCATTTTCCATGGTCAACGGCCGGTTAAAAAGTTTAAATAATTGTGAACAAACGTGGATTACAAGTATCGTGTCTCATATTTCTCAGGGACGGAGCTAGCGAGGGGGATTCAATTAGCACCAGATCTCGCCTAAAAATCGTAACCATCGAGAAAGGTGCCACGGGGAAGATCCTCTCTCGTCCGCAGAGGCTCCCGCTGCGTATCCCAATAATCTTTCCCCTTCCCATCGTGCCCCGCGCGCTTTCTTTTTCTTTCTCCTCGATCCCTGGGGAAGATCAGTGGCCCGGCGCTCCCTGAGGATATAAAAATGAAGTGTATAACAAAAAATAGGCTTGATTTTCGTCGCTTCCTCGGTCGGGTCTTGTTTTGCCCTGAGAAGAGTTTTTTCGTGGGGGAGGCAGGTTCATTTTCCGGACAACGGCTGGTCGGCTTGTAGTGGAGCCTGTAAAAAAAACATAGAAAGATGAGGGACTGGCTTGTAGTGTAGAACAATTGTAGAGAAAAAAGGGCAATGAGGAAAAAACATGATACCAGGAGCCCATAAAAAAAAAAGCATCGAAAACGTATTCGTTTTTTTTTTTGCAAATTTTAAATATCCCGCACTGACATAGTATCACTCAGATTGTAACATCGGTGGACATCTAGTTTTTTGGGACGTTGTGCAGTTATTTTTTTCTCCTAGCCGAATTTTTAAAAATACCTATCGAACTTGCCTGTTTTTTTTGTTGTTGTTGTTTTTTTGCTTTTGTTTTTTTTTTATTCATGCATTCAACGAACCCAAAAATCAGACTATGGAAGAAAAAGGAGAGGAGGGCAAGCGAGTACGCTGTTACTTTCTTACACTGGCTCTATTTTGGGAACGTTTTTAAACGAAAAAAAACACTGCGAAAAAAAAAACTGGCTCTTTTGGCCTGAGTCATCTTTCCAATGAAAATCAGGCGAGACTCCGTATTATTGGCCGCTAAACTTAGACCTTGCCTCATTAACTCGAAAAAATAAAGACAGGCCGGTACTATCACTTTCTAGTTAATATTCATTTTTTACTTATTTAAATGTAAGTATTTATTTATTGCCCTTTGGGATCTGTGTTTTTGTTTTGCTTTGTCTTTGTTTTTTTTTGTTCTGTTTTAATAATCATCCGGAACACTTGGCGTCATATACAGGCGAGTTCACATTAATTTCCTATGTGGGAAAGTCAAGTCCATTAATGGGATAACTATTCTACATACAGACAGTGGCTCAATTTTATTGTTTCTAGATTGACGTATGTACTTCCGGCTTTACACTGGGCTTCTTTTCGCATGAATTGTTTTAGTCTTAGAACATGTACCCGTTTAGAGAACAGTATTCATTACTTTGATGGCTTTACCCCTTTGATTAGAATTAACAGTGTCAAGGCCTGAAAAGGACCACGAAAAATATCATATACATTTCCTGAAAATGACACCATCTCTCAGTTCGGAAAGCTTCTTGTTTGTCGGCCGGATGCCTTCTGGGGTTTTTGTTTGTTTCGTAGTTCCTAAGGTTTGGTCAACATTTTATGCCCGGAACAGAGAGCAATCAGAAAATTTTCTGCGAAAATAATCGAATCATCATTTGAAAGATCATGTGATGTCCAATAAAACTACAGCTATAGATAGAGAAATCATTATTTTGTTGTTTGTTTATATGTGGTTGTTTGTGTGGCTTTGCTTTCGACACCGTAAGAATAGAAAGTCAAAGGTTATTCTTCTATACTAACAATCGCGTCTGAACTTTATGCTCAATGAATTCTGAGGATCTGAATAGCTCCCAGTAAAGTTCAGCATTGTTGGTCATAGCAAGAGAGAATACTGATTCGTGATACTGTCAGAAACTATTCGGAAATGAAGAATCCCTGAATTTGCCCGACTTTACTATCACGATAATCCTTCAGTTTCATTATAACCATCTATGATCAAAAGCATTCACGAAGCGTGTCCTTGTACCAGAATAACCTAATAAGCATTTGTTTTTTTTAATAAATTCTATTTAAGAAACTATAAATAATTTTCTCGATTAAAAAAAATGTCGGTTACATACTTCTAGGCGGGGAGGATTACCGGCCTTCGAGTCAGATTTCCGGACCCCTCCCCGGAGAAATACAACAACAACGTTATCAAGCTACTCGTTTCAGTCCACCTCGTTTATTTTTCAGCTAAAAAATGGTGGACGGACGTTCTGACACTTGCAGTTTACAATTACTGTTCTGTTATAAAGCCGACTTCGGTGGTTAAATCGTGCCTGATTCCACGCAGATGTTTTAAACTGAAGCTTCTTTCCTATCATAGTTCTGGATCTTTTGTAAATCAACCAAAAATAGCAAGTGATTCAATATTTGGATCGCGTCTACAAACTTCGCAGACAGTTGCTCGACAAATGAGGTTCGAGAACGGAGAAAAACATGGAATAATTATGCAAACACCTCAACAGCTGATAACTTATGTCTTCATTCCACGCAGGGAAATTGTGTTTATGCTAGAAGGTAGCGTATTTCAAGTTTAGACGTGAAAAAGACCGAAGCTGCTGGCCGAAGTTTCAGGAATAAGCTTGTGCAAAACCACATTTTCCGGTCGAAAAATACAAACTTATAAATGAGCCAGTGTTGACGCATTCCGAGTTCCTGGAAAGATACGTGACAATGTTGGCAAAAAAGGACTTCAAGTGAAATCGCTTAAAACCAAAGTTAATATATTGTAGGAAACAAAAACTTTTAAAACACTATTAATCAGAAGATTTAGGAACAGGATCTACAGGAAAAGGG